CCATTGTACAGAACACTGGTGAGACCTCACTTGGAGTATTGTACACAGTACTGGAGACCGTATCTTCAGAAGGATATTGATACCTTAGAGAGGGTTCAGAGAAGGGCTACTAAACTGGTTCATGGATTGCGGGATAAAACTTACCAGGAAAGGTTAAAGGATCTTAACATGTATAGCTTGGAGGAAAGACGAGACAGGGGGGATATGATAGAAACATTTAAATATATAAAGGGAATCAACACAGTAAAGGAGGAGACTATATTTAAAAGAAGAAAAACTACCACAACAAGAGGACATAGTCTTAAATTAGAGGGACAAAGGTTTAAAATAATATCAGGAAGTATTACTTTACTGAGAGGGTAGTGGATGCATGGAATAGCCTTCCAGCTGAAGTGGTAGAGGTTAACACAGTAAAGGAGTTTAAGCATGCATGGGATAGGCATAAGGCTATCCTAACTATAAGATAAGGCTAGGGACTAATGAAAGTTTTTAGAAAATTGGGCAGACTAGATGGGCCGAATGGTTCTTATCTGCCGTCACATTCTATGTTTCTATGTTTCTATGTTTCTAACTACTCTGGCTTTAAATTTGAAATAAACAATGAATTCTCATTTTAGTTTAGTTTTCAGTCACATACAATTCATTGTTTAGTGAATAAACTCAATGAATTGAAGTGTGTTAAAAAATATATATTTTGGGCAAAAATAACTGAATTAGAAAAAGTCTCAAATGCATTTGTCAGCCCACCATAAATCTTAACATATATATAGATTATAGAGTCTCGGCTATATTTTGCTGTGGCATTTAATGCTGCTTAAAATTATCATCAAGAGAACCTGAATTCTAAATGTGTATTCAGCACTGTCTTATGAGACATGACTTGAGTCCTGAAGCAGTATTTGAACATCAAATATAAGGTTCCTACGTTCTGGATCTGTCAGATCGCATTCATAAAATAAAATGTTTTATCACTCAGGACACAAATGGTATTTATTTTACTTACTGTGATATTTGCTGATTTTATTAAATTATATTGTTTTTTGTTTGTTTTTTTTAAATCTAAATTATTACATATATACAACATCTTTTAAAGTATTCACTTTATTGTTACTATGTCTGCCTCTGCTGGGTTTTTAGGGTTGTAAGTATTGGTAATGCTTTGATATTATTCTATGTTTCTATATTAGAAGGGCAAAGGTTTAAAAATAATATCAGGAAGTATTACTTTACTGAGAAGGTAGTGGATGTATGGAATAGCCTTCCAGCTGAAGAGGTAGAGGTTAACACAGTGAGGGAGTTTATGCATGCGTGGGATAGGCATGAGGCTTTCCTAGATTTAAGATAAGGCCAGGGACAAATTAAAAGTATTTTGGAATAATGGGCAGACTAGATAGGCGGAATGGTTCTTATCTGACGTCACATTCTATGTTCCTATGTTTCTATGTTTCTAAATAATCACAAATATGCTACAGGGCAAACATTTTATATATTTTTTTACTGCTGAGACAAATGTAAATGTAAATGAAAGCTGGTTAGTGTAGTAAAAAGACACAAAAGGAGAAAATGTCTCTTTTCTGAAGTCATAGCTACAATCTGATTGTTGTTTTAGTCAGGTCTGGCCTGGGGGGGCATGGAGATGTTTGCACTGGGGCCTCACCATGAGAGACAGCTCCGTGGCAGTCATTGTTGGAGCAGGTGCATTAGACGGCGTACGATAGTGCTGTAAAGCTCTGAGCTATAGGGGAGATCAGTGAACATTGTGTCCCCGAGCTGTGCGAGGGTGACGGGCTCAGCTTTCAGTGTCTATGTTCCCCTTTTTGCTTTAAGCCTCTTAAAAGGCCCAAGACTGTGCAAGAGAGCAAAGACACTGCGTGAAGAGCCAGGGAATACTCATTTTTTTTCAGATTTATTAAAATAGACCACCAGGGATGAGCTCCTATCACCTCAGTGAAAGCTGAATAATATAAAAGGATTAGCAAAATCTACTCTCGAGTGCCATCATTTTAACAAGGGCAGATGGAACAAAATAAAATAAACAACTAGTATTGTAACTCACACTAATCTCAGGCAGCAATAAAATTATATAACTACCAACTAGTACTATAACTCATCGATGTCACAGTGCTGTCCTTACAGTAAAGTTTTACCCTTAACATTTACATTACCTTACATTACTAAATCTTAACATTTACATTACCTTAACTCACTACACTGCTATATACATTAATATCAAGATTACCCTAACATCTATACATTAATACCTACATCACCCTAGCACACTAAAATTTCGCTAAATATTAACCCCCAGAGTAGATTAATACTAAATATTAACCTCTACAGTACCATGATGGCTATTGGCCTTTACATGACTTTAACACTTACACTAACCATAACCTCAATAATACCTAAATTAAAATATTTTTGATAATAGTAAATCATTTAAAAAGCTTATTTAAAGGAGCACTATAGTGTCAGGAACACAAACATGTATCAGTGACCCTGTAGTGTTAAAACCACTATCTAGCCCCCATTGCCCCCTTTCCCTCCCTAAAGATAGTAAAATCTTACTTGTATTCAAGTCTGAAGCTGCTGCCTCTGCCTGTGAACTTCCTCTGACCTCATCAGAAGTGGTGGCCTGATCCATTCACAATGCTTCCCCTTAGGATTGGCTGAGACTGACAAGGAGGCAGATCTGGGGCAGAGCCAGCACAATTCAAACACAGCCCTGGCCAATCAGCATATCCTCACAGAGATGAATTGAATCAGTGAATCTCTATGAGGAAAGTTCAGTGTCTGCATGCAGAGGGAGGAGATACTGAATGTTTGGATACATTTTAGGCAGCCATGACCCAGGAAGGATCTCTAACGGCCATCTAAGGAGTGGCCAGTGAAGTTATCACTAGGCTGTAATGTAAACACTGCATTTTCAAAAGACAGTGTTTACAGCAAAAAGCCTGAAGGTAATGATTCTACTCACCAGAACAAATGCATTAAGCTGTAGGTGTTCTGGTGACTATAGTGTCCCTGTAACAATATTAAATTGAGCCTATAAGACTTAATTTTGTAATATTTTTATATATATATTTAAAATATTGCTATATTTTTATATATTATATATTTGTAGATATTGTAATATTTTGAAAAAAGACATCTTAACAGAAGTCCAGTTAGGCCTGTAACGCCAGTCATTTTGTAACCATGCTTATACTAAAATAATGCTATATTTAAAAGGTCAGTTGAATGCTTTATTCTCAACAAACAGGAAAAACACAGGGGACAGTTTAAATTTAAAATTAACAAAACAAGTCCAGGAACTGTCAGCCTCCTGTTCTGTCTGGCACTCACCTTATGCTCCCATGCCAAGTGCCTCTCCTCTCCTGCGAGATGCCGGGTTATGGTGCACTGGCGAGCAATGCCTTGATCACACCTCCCGGTGCAGTTTGTTCCTGCTACAGCCAGAGACATGATCAGGTATGAAACAAGAGGCTGCCTCTCATATTCCGGCCCATACTATGATTAGTGCAGGGGATTGCGGACGGGTCCTCACACAGCCAAGCTCCTTAGGCATGACTTAAAGGGAAAGGGGTGATATAATCTAGAGGGTGTTCCAGTAATGCAGTGGGGGTTTCCATTTTCTCGTAAAAAAAAGCCTGCTCTTCCAAGCTATCATTGTTCAGTATTACCATCCTACTTGCCATATCCAGCTGTACTCCTGTTGCTCTTATATTCCTATACTCTCTTCCTGATATCTGACCTTTGGCTTGACCTCCATTTATGAACCTGTGCTGCCTGACCTGACCTTGGGCTAACCTTACTTTGCTTTGCCTCAACCTTATCTGTACATCATCTTAGATTTTCCTCAATCTATTACTGCATACTGGGCTCTGTCTACTAAATCCTGACAGCCTGTGAGAGGGTCTGGTACGTTTTAATGTATGCGTGTGGAAGAGTTTGTATAAGTATTTCAGATTGCCAAATTTCAGTAGTCGGGGATCTAGCAGAAAACACATTTGGGGATATAACTGAACGTGAAATAGATTAGGTTTCCAAAATTCACAAGAAAATTGCAATGTTGTACCTATAAGTGTTAAAAACAAAGAAAAAATAAAGTTATTCAAGATGAAAATGTATACAATAAGAGATTAATTGCTGGTCCTAGATTCTTCACCCCAAGACTGGGGGCTATTCTGGTAATATGCTTGTATTTGTTTTTGTACACTGTCATGTCCAAGTGCACTCTGTGTCTGCCCTATTAAACATTAATAGGTGTGTAGGGGTTCATAAGAATACCGCTTTATGCCCCTTTGAGTACCACTCCAACAGCCATTAAAGTTTAAGGGCAGCCCTTAATTTTGTGTGTTTTTTTTTTTTAACAACTTATGCTTATGTTTAGCATACACATGTTTTGCTGAAGTAATGTTGGGATGACACGTGCTGGCAATCAATTGCTTGTCATTCAGTTTACTAACTGTTGTGTGCTTTTCTCTCGTACTTAATTTTATGTTGTATGACACTTATTTTTTCAAGGAACCTTTAATGAACCTTTAATGGTAAAAACATAAATAAATAAACTTGGACAAAAAAAACAACATTTGACAATAATTATCCTTGAAAAAAATTTGTCAAAACTGTCAAAATATACATTTTTTTTAATGTGCTCATTTCTCCATGAAAATGAGAAGTTATAGGCCTGCGTGTCCTTTAAAAACAGAGTATATGTCTCTGCACTAAACGTGAGAAATTAACTTTGATAACGACATGATTGGTCTTGTAATAAAGGTACTAAAAAGCTGTTGTCATGAAATGGCTATTTGAATGTTTATTTAAAAAGACAGAACTATGAATAAACAATTTTTTTTTTTTTAATACTAGCAGATACACTGTTGTGCTCCTCACGAGATAAACAAACAATAGAAAAGCACAAAATAAGTGAACAAAGTTCAATTTTATTCAACACAATGTACTACAAATATGTACAACATATTTGTGATACCAACATATGAAACAAGGAATGACAAACAAAATGAAGATTTTTAAGTTACATTCTGTAATACAAATACGTACCACATGTCTGTAACAATGTCTGTAACGATAAAATAAAATGATCATAGTACAAAATGTCTGTGGCATATACATATGTCTCTATATTTATTTGACCTGTTTAAACCACACATGGCACTAGAGCAGTAGTCAAGTCTTTTTAAATACATTTTTTACTAATACACTTTTTTATATTTATTACATACTTTCTCAATATGTACATTATTACACCTCTTATTTATTTGTTTTGACAAATCTTATATTGCTTGTTTGAAGCTTAGATCATATTATGCAGCATATTTTATTTTACTTATCGTACATTACCGCTGTTATAATGAGCAGAAATGTATCTGATCATCCAAAACCTCAGTGTGCTGTGTGCTATAGAGCACCTACAACATTTAAACATCAACATTTATTCAATGGAATTCTCTTTCGAAAGTACAGCAACTTACTGTACATTAAGCTCTGTTCATCATTAAAACATTCAAGGAGAAGTCATGTAATACCATTAGGTAAGCCTTTCTCGACTTAAAAAGGTATACCACTTGAGATTTTCTTTTCCGTGCGTTTTCATTTAGTATTCAGATGTGGTAACAGGAGCATGTATAAAAATGAGCCTCATCAGTGCTTGAAAAACCTTCAGGAAGGTCATACCAGCATGTGGTCTTGAAAATGATTCTCTTATGCTTATCACTTTTTTAAATTTAACTACAGCAAAAGCAGACATTGTACGTACTTACAGAAAATTAGGAAAAGTAATTTACACAATTTATACAATTGGTCTCCTCGATACGGTTCTGTGGTCGAGAGATGAACAGAATTAAGGGATCTTTTCGCTAGCTGTTTGTCAAGATGGGTTAATAATTATCTTGCAAATAAGCTACAGGTTTATTATTCCCCCCAAATTTGATAACTTGGTTGGTGATTTTGTAAAACTGGGTGCCATTAAATTGCAGCCACAAATCATTATAGTATTTGCAATAAGCATCAAATTGCAGTGAATTACAAAATAACTGAATTATAACATTTTTACAACCCCCATCCCACCAGAAACAAGCAGGCTGTGGGTATACCAGAGTTGGATAAACTTAAGGAAAGAGGGTACACCTTTCGCCTATATGTGTAAGGAAAAATGTGATATAAATCCAACCATAACCGCGTATATTGCTTAAAGACTTAAAAAAAGCCAGCTGTATATAGATTGTTTTAATTTCTTGTACGATTGTACCCCACTCTCCATAGAGGGCAACTAGTTAGGGCAGGGACCTCAACACCTTTTTGTTCCTACATGTCCAACGTATCTTTCTAAGTAACAACAATGATAATTGTTTCAATCTATAAACTGGCAGGATAATTGACTTATTTACAACAATAGTATGTCCTTCGTTGAAGTCTATGTAAGATTAGGTTATCTAAAATAATTATTTTTGTGATTATAATTTCTTGAAGCGACTCTGTCAACTTGGTTTTTACATTTTTCGCATAGACCCCCGGAGGTGTAGTGGAAGGTATATTTACTTACTTGCCTCGCAGCTGCCACCATCTTGATCTGGTGCATCCTTTTCAGCTCCTAGTGCTTGGAGCTCGAGCAAGGAGCCAGCAAGGAGCCAGCATCAGTGCTGTACTCTTGTGCATGCACAATAGTAAAACACTAATGTTTATGGAAGATATTGCCAGACCTCAGGGGCCTCTAGAGACAAAGCCTTTTCCCCATGGCTTGGCAAAATTTGAAAGCAGTAGCTCCACCTTTTTGTCAAGCATAGGAAAAATACATAAGACGAAGAAGTCCTTACTTTGCTTTATGATATATTTTGACTGAGTTAGAACTTCAGTGAAATTCCAACACAATCTTTTCATGAGCATTTCACAAAGATGTTACCCTAATTAAATATGAACAGAGTTCTGTGTTTATATAAAATAAACTGCTTTGCCCAAAATATATAAAATGTGTTTAGATCTTTAAGAGCCCTTACTAAAGGTAAGTCGCCACTAAAGCACTGATAATTCAGATTGCAGATGACTATATTTGGTGATTCTCAGTGAGAATGATCAAACACGAAAGCATGACACTGAGAAAAATATAACCAATGACCTATTAATACAACTATATGCCTTATGGTTTGGCCTTTACGATAACAACCAAAATGCTGTATTTCACATAATATTTGCTTACAAATGTCCAAAGGCATTTGTGGTTAAATACATGTTCTGTTTTAAATTCTCTGATGTGATGCCTGTTCAAAATAAAAAATACACTCAATCTTTAGTAAATCATACATATTTACTAATTATTCACTTGGAGAAAAAAAAAGTCAGATCTCTCTTATACATTTGTATATATGGGGATAAAACTTACCAGGAAAGGTTAAAGGAACTTAACATGTATATCTTGGAGGAAAGACGAGACAGGGGGGATATGATAGAAACATTTAAATGCATAAAGGGAATCAACACAGTAAAGGAGACTATATTTAAAAGAAGAAAACCTACCACAACAATAGGACTTAGTCTTAAATTAAAGGGGCAAAGGTTTAAAAATAATATCAGGAAGTATTACTTTACTGAGAGGGTAGTGGATGCATGGCATAGCCTTCCAGCTGAAGTGGTTGAGGTTAACACAGTGAATTAGTTTAAGTATGCGTGGCATAGGCATCGGGCTATCCTAACTATAAAAAGTATTTCAAAATATTGGGCAGACTAGATGGGCCGAATGGTTCTTATCTGCCGTCACATTCTATGTTTCTATGTAAATATAATGATTTCAGATTTACCTTCTCATAAAAATTATCTAAAAGGCCAGGTTATCAACGTGCAGATTTCTATTATCCACACAGTTTAAAATGCAATGTATAAATCATTATGTGTGGGTTTTAGTTCACAACTTAAAATAACAGCTGTACAAAAATTTTGAGCCAATATGCAGACATCTAGCAAGCATTCTGTCAGCAAAACATATTTTGACCTACAGCTGAATGCAAGGGTCGCCCTTGTGTGAAGAACACATATTCATGTTTAGCTAATAAAAGTGAGTTTTGCAGATTTGCAGGTTTTTACACAGAAATGCAGAGTGGCATATTTGAAGACTCTGCAAGGTTCCAACAATACTATGTTGTTGCTATTTTAAAGTATAGGACTGTGATGTCACCCAACCAGCAGAGAACTGTCAGGACCCCATAGTATCTGATGTAACCTATGCACTTTAGTGAGTGATGGCTTTTCTCTATATGACAATGAGGCTGATAGAGTGAGACAATAAGACAGAAGAAGATACGAAACGGCTAAATAGGTAAGATTTTTTCTATGCTATGGGCAACTTATCCATTTTTTTTCCACAAGAAATGCAAAACATTTTCACCATCAGCTGTCTAGTGAAAGCCGCTATTCAGTTCGACAGATTTCTATTTTGTGGAAAGTTTCCCTAACCCAGTGGTTTATATTTTCCTCAGTGCAGTTAAAATAAACACATGAGCCTGATGAATATAATGGTTCTGTTTCACCCATTCTGGATCAAATAACGCAGCACAAGGGTTCAATTTTGGGCCCTGACCCAATAGTCAATAGCCTGTTCTCTTAGTAGAAAGTAGATTTTAGCATTCTTTAGAAAAGGCTCAAAACACTCAACACTTAAAAAAACAAACTGTCAGCTACGATGTTTGTACACATTAGCATACACAATAATAAATATATAATGTAGTTTAAATTTCTTGTTAGCAATGACAGTTTTTCACTAAAGTGTAAATTCTTGGGAGTTCAAAATATATTGGAAATTAAAGGGACACTATGGGCACCCAGACCACTTCAACTCATTATCCCTGTCAGTTTAATGATGCAATTATAATTATTCTAGTTCACTTCATTCCTTACATTGGAGGGTTAACTCCACCACTAGTGGCTGTCAGCCAGACAGCCACTAGAGGTGTTCCCGATACGTTAGGTGACTTTTGGTCACATAACTGATGCTGGACGTCTTCATGTTTTCTTCAATGCTTTCCTATGGGGTTGTGTTAATGCGAGCGCAGTGCTTGATGTGCATGTACATTAGGTCTCCAACGTCGGCTGATGTCGGGGAAGGAGAAGTGGGAGGCGGAATCAGGTAAGTGACAGACGGTTTTTAACCCTTTCTGCACTGTGAGGGAGAAACGTGTGAGCGAGGGGGGCACTATAGGGTATTTTTTTGTATTCCTAGCCTATAGTTTCCCTTTAATTTTAAAATTTTAAGCAAATATAGGGTTACATTTGAATTTTTTTTTTAGTTTGGCTAAATTAGTAAATCTCTAACAGTGTGCTTTTGCTGTAATGCATGATGGCAGACAAGCTAAAAATGGTGCTTGTCACCACAGTGGGTAAGCAACCATCTCTGCTGACCAGCCAAACAGGGGCAATGCACTAGAAACAGAAAATAATTTCAGATAGGGTCTATCTGTCAGATCTGGATATGCTGGGCATATGATACCGAGATTTTGTAATTCATTATATCTGGGAATGATCACATATGAATATATACTGGAAAAAAAAAAAGAAATACAGCGTAGCTGACTATAATTTTGAAATAAGTAAATACCATTGCTTTATTTTAAAGCTGCAGTTTGAAAATATCTATTAAATACACCACTTTTGCATGCAACTGTAGCATTCTAAGCATCATCTCAATTGTATTAAAAAAAAAATAATAATTACTTGACCACGTCAGATTTTTTTCCCAACTATATTTTCTATGGGTTAGATTAATTAAATCTTTCACAGCGCTATAAATAGGTGAAACAAGACAAACAAGTCTAACTTATCCCATTTGACATGTGGGGACAGTAGATGAAGAGGGTCCTGCCCAAATGAGCTTACCATCTGAAAGATGTGACATGATGTGGGTAATAAAGTGGCTACATTCTATTGTTGCCATATCAGCAAAAACAACAAAATTATTATTTGCCTTTATTTGCAGTGTTAAAAATAAAGGGGTTCAATAGAGGGAAAATGTGCTATAATTCTCAGTGGGAAGAAGATTTGGGTGGCGGAGGAGGGCTAAAGGACCCGTTTGCTGTGATGAAGATAACTGTTTGTATAACTATGAACAAATGTACTTTTAAGTGCATGTCACGATGATACCTTCACTTTTACAAAATGTATCCCTTTCATTCACTACTTTGTAACAAAGACTGTGGTGAGGTTGGTTGTGTACTCAGACTTGTACATGGGATCTGCACTGCTACACGCATCTGCATTGCGAAACACTTAAAATCTATGTTACCTACTTATAAACCACTAATCTGTAAGATTTCCTACGTCAGGTCCATGGAAGACCTCATTGATAGACTAAGAGGCTCAACTCTAAACTATAGCCAAATATGGCTTCCCTGTCTTGTGTCCCCTGTTGAAGGCCTCGCCTGCCGACCATTGTGTTGTCTATCGATTTCCTTCCTCGCTTTTTTATCCTCTTCTCCTCTTTTTCTTTACTTTAACCACCCTTTACTGATGTGTTATTTTTTTTTACTGAGATCCTATATTCAGTAACTCTCCTACTTATATATAAAAAATTACATTCAGTAGTCTAGATCCCTTATGTTATAGTCATGCTTCCATAGAATCTATTGATCTAAAAAAATTTTCAATAATTTTTGACTATGATTCAGCTCTTTGCTAACTTGTAATTGTGTTCACTTTAATACTTGACTCTGTTACCTTAAATTAATATTTATTTTGCGAAATGCCAATGTTACACTTCTCCATGAAATTTGATTCCTATCTGACCCTTAAAGAGACCCTCTAGTCACCAATACAACTTTAGCTTAATGAAGCATGTTTGGTGTAAAGATCATGCCTCGGATGTTTCACTGCACACTATTTACTATTCACTATTGTTCCTGCACTATATATTCAATATTGTTCCTCTTTCTGCAGCCCTAGTCATACCTCCCCTGGCTCTGACTGAGGCAGCCTTCAAGAAACAAAAATTATTTAGTTTTCGATAAGATGTAACTTACTGTAAACGTTTTTATCTGCTGCTCTGTAAATTGAACTTTACTTACATACAGGAGGCTCCTGCAGGGTCTATCAAGATATTAACAGAGAAGGACATAAGGAATTCTAAATTAAACAGAATTTGCAAAACATAAAGTGTAAACATTAGATGACTCTTTAAAGGAAGTTTTTAAGAAGGCTGTGTAAGTCACATGCAGGGAGGTTGTGACTAGACTGCATAAACAATGTGATTTAACTTCAAAATAGCAGACAATTTAGCAGTGAGACTGCAGGGACATGATCTATACACAAAAACTCCTTTATTAAGCTAAAGTTGTTTTGGTGACTATAGTGTCCTTTTAATAAAAAATCTTTTGGGAAAAAATATTGAAAACATAATTAATTTCCATATCACTTCTTTGTATAGTCTGTAAAATTACTGATATGAATTTTCTACATAATTATTTTCTTGCTATTGTCGTTTATTTCCAGTAAGGCAAATATATTTTCTTTTTAACTGCTAATTCACTCTTCCATATATGTATTTTATAAAAATAAATCTAGCTGGTGCAATGAAAGATAATTTAGGTTCTTAAAAAAAAAAAAAAGTATATGGTCATTTAGAAATAAAAAGTAAATATATATGTAAAAATATAAACATGTATTATTGGTATTAATATATAATGCTACATACATTTATACTTATGCAATATCTATTTTATATTCAGTGGCTATTTTCAAAAACGTTTGGATAATTGATCTTTGCCATGATGGTATACGATTAAATAAACTTTTGGCTTGATAGTAGTTAAATACATTCTATTTTGGTTATTTTTATTTAAAAAAAGACTCAAACAATCTTCACCATTTATTTAAAAAAATCTAATTTTATACACCGTTGTAACAAGGACAAATTCTCTCAATTAAAAAAAAAAAAGTGAAGTGAAATGCATATCAGATTTCAATATCTCTTCATATGAGATTGATAAATAATTAATTTCATATTTAAGATATGTGATATTTGATAAGTGTAATTGACCTTTACTGTATTTTAGACAACCTCAGACTATGATTAAAATAAATTAAAGCACAGTTCATTGGGTTTGGTCTTTCAGAAAAAGAAATGATAAACTATTCCTCAAAATGAATTGTATTAAAATATAATTTAGAGCATCGATGTGCAAACTGGCAGCAGACCAAATACGCTGACGAGGGTTTTTGTATTACCCTGTACTATCTGTAAAATCCCCAATTTATTACTGTGTCACATCACTGATTTTATGGTGTCCCTGTGTTTTATTGCAGTATACTGGTTTAGACCAATCATTGTTAACCTTTGCATTTTTATAAGAAATGTTGTCCATGAAGATCAGGATAAATCTGTAACACAATGGTCCCATATAACAGCTTTTAAAGGGTAGCCGGGGCAACATGATTTTTTGCACAAAATAAAGGTTTGGTGTGTGTTGTGCAATTTGTTTTATATAACCAACTTATTTTGTTAACATGGTATGTCTGGCTGTCTTGGGAAAACAATTGCATGGATTGTAAATGATTCTAATCCCCATGGTGATGTATGCACATACACTTTAAGGGTTCATACAGGATACACCACCAGGGTTGGAATGCTCAAGCTCCATGTAGTTGTGTAGCATTTTCCAAAGAGATACCAGTGCGAGAAAGAGTATGCTTAGCGCAATTATTATTATTATTGCCATTCATATAACGTCAACAGATTCCGTATCGCTTTACAATATTATAAGAGGGGGGATTTTGGAATGACATTGCTTTGGACACGAAAGTACTGTTGAGCCAAGTATGGTTTCAACAATACTTACTGAGGTGAGGATCCTTATTCTTGAGAAATGACATTTCCTTTTAAATAGATACTCCAAGCACCAAAACGATTTTAGTTTAATGAAGCAGTTTTAGTGTATAGAGCATGCCCTGAAGTCTTACTGATCAATTCTCTGCCATTTAATAGTTAAATCCCTTTTGTGTCTGTTTACACAGTCTTAACCACACCTCCACTGGCTGTGATTCACATAGCCTGACTTAAAAAAAAAACGTTATCAATCAGGTCCAACAGCACAGTGTGTTTACTTTAGAAGTTTTTCTCTTCCACTCCCACTCTGTTAATTAAACTTTAAACACACACACCCTTCTAGTCATTTTGAAACATTTTTATATATAGTGAGGCATGTACTAACCAATGAAAGAAAATACACATTTTAACAGATAATTACATACTTGCATATGAGTAATTTCTAAAGCACATAGAGAGATGTTAATGAATTTCATATTTGCACAAATAGAGAAGTAAAATTTCAGCATTTTGGCTGATCCCATGCTAAATGTTCATTTATTCTTTTAACTGATCATTTTTTGACAGTGTTTCCAGGATAGCACTATTATATTCACTTTAATATTTTGGCAGTTAAAACACAAATAAGAAAAATAAGAGAATTATCCTATTTGCTACTTTTCCACACACAGTAAATTTTTTACAATACTATAAAAAAAATGTAATTGCTCCTGGTTAGCACTTTCCTCCAAATCTCCTTATTCTGTTTAGAAAGAAAGCCATTTGAGAAAATATAGTGAGATTGAGACAACATTGTTTACATGTTAAATAGCATAATATAAATTTACTGTGCTTATTCGAGTATTGTATGTATTTTCTAGTTGTACACATAATTTGCTGTTTCTTTTCATATAATTCTTATAAATATATCACTGGCTAATAAAAACAATCCTACAAACGATCTATAAAAATAGAATAAGAGTTTTAGCTATTATCACTGTATAGCTTTTGCTTAAGACATAACATTGCTAAGTCATCTGTCATTTGCCTATTAAGAAGTAGAAAAGTATGTTGCGTTAATTTATCTTGTGAGATGTTATGACAGTACCATTTAAAATGGTCCAATATTCACCAAATGTAGTACAGCTATACCCTATATTTCAGATTGCAAAACCTGTACCCGTTTATTATAACACTGACTGTACATGTAGAAATATAATAATATCGAAAGTAAACAGTAGGTAACATAGATGTTTCCATTATTTATGAACAAATTCTGAATTTTGTAACTAACTTTTATCCAGCTTTGATTTGTCTACTTATGGATTTTTTTTTTTATACTAAACAATAGCAGTACCAACACTAAACTCAAACTGAAAAAAAAAAATCACTTCTGCTCCCGTGAATTCAGGTTATAAAAGAAACCACAGAATTTAGTGTTGCCGATGTGAGAAGATCCACATCACTGTAGGAATTCACAAAGAAGAATTGAAAACAAGTTTCTTTTGTTCCCATACCTTGCAGATGCCCCCAGGTATCTACCTAATGTGAGATTTGGCCCTGGTGACAGCATAGCTACACGACATGCTCTATTAAATTTTGTTTCCAAGCAGGATCTCTACGGAAGGCAATCATCGGATGTGACCAGCTCAATCAACAAATGCCTCAAGAAAATATTTAATGTAACAATCATTGGAATGTTAGTTGAACCGTGTACTTCATACTCTTCAGTATGCAATGAGCACCTTGAAAATATCTGTCAATCCACTGATTTATTTTAAAATAAATTACTGTGATGTATACCGGCTATTTGAATAACCAAGTACGTTAACATACTATAAAGTTTTTTTCAGAATTAACAAGTGATGCTAACGTTTAGGGATAACATCGGGAAATGGAATTATATTTATGGTATTCATGGAACCTAAAAAATATTTTTGCTTTTTTTATACTAATAAACTCTCAAAGGAAAACTGATGTAATTTTTTATTATTAGTGAAAAATATAGAAACTTATTCACATTTATTGTCATTTTCTTTTCTTGTATATTTTCAGTGGCATTATCGCCATTAGAGTTTGCTCCTCCCTTCAGTTGCAAGGACGGAATTATCTAAAACCTAATGAATTAGTTATTTTATAAGTTACCCTCTACTCGTTCCCCGGACTATTAAAAAGCTAAAAATTCCCAGATGGAAGGGAGAGTGATGTTGCCATGGAAAATAGCCAGGAAAAGAAAATTATGATCAGTAGAAAACCATGGGTAACCATGGCATCATTACCATTGGGCAATATCCAAGCTAAAAAAAAAGGCTGGGAAACATGATTTACTGCAAAAATTTTCATTTATTTATGAACCAGTTAGAATGTTTCTATCAAAGGAGAATTCTGAGGAAGTCTGTGAAAGTGTGCAAAGATCTACAAAGAAGTCCAAGTGGCTGCTGTACAAATATCCCCATCTGGTTGAAAAAATGCCCTATCCTGTATTAAGGATAAGGCCAAAAGTTCAGCTATGTTCTTAGTGTTATTGGTGGAGCTGATGCCATATTCACAGTAATAATTGCTGTTTGAAACATTGTCTTGAGTGTGAGGTTTCAATATAATCCAAATAGCTAACATGTATGTTTAGGGATTTAACTTAATGTTAAATTTTTTTGCATCAAGCAAGAGGCTTGAAAAGTGTTTTCAGGACCAGTGGCAGCCATTAATCATTAGGGTTGGAAACCAGTCAAGAATAGAGAATAGAGAATATTGGATGCCGTTAGCCACTACTAAACTAAACAGTGATTGTTTTCAAGTAGAGTCATCCAGTTTCCTCATATAAGATGTAAGACTTACTTGTATCTTGGAGAACAATGTTGGTGCCTGGCTAAACCCAAACAGTAGACCTCAGAATTGGTAGTGCTTCCCAAAGACAACAAAAATCTCAGGAACTGGGAACACTGTGGAATATTTGGCACATGATAATATCTGTCCCTGAGATATGCTGATGAATAGCCACAATAATGGATGCCATGGACTCCATCTTGAAGTTTTTTTATACTAGGAATTGTTTTGCTTCACTTGAGGTCCAGAATTAAGCTCAATTTTCCGTTGGGGTATGGCATATTTCTGAAAGATTTCCATGTTCTTCTGGTTCCTCTTCCTCTCCATCTAAAGGTTAAAGAGCACTGTCCTGATCACCATAGATTTAGTGTGGAAAATGCCTTCCCCGCAAGATATACATTTTTGATCTGTCTCAAAAACCTTTGTCTCCAGGATTACACATTCTTTCATTTTCTTTCCTGAAATAGAAACACCTTCTTTTCATTCTCCATTTTCATTATGGCCTCATCTAAAACTTCACGAAAAAATAAGTCTTCCTGGAAAGTCATCTTTTTGGTTATCTTTTTGTAGCCACAGGACCCTTCTGACAAAGCCATTTCTCTTGAAAAGATCCTGGAGAGATCAAGTTCTGCAAATTACTTAATAGCAAGTTTGATTTTTTTTTTAATGGTTTCTGCTAATCATGCTTTTTTTTCACTCCTTCAACAATGTCCTTCTTCAGGTTTGGGTTCCATATTATTAGTGCCCTGGAAAGAAAAGAGAGGCCAGAGCAAATGCTGGATGAAGTTTAGGGTAGGATCAGCCATTACGTGGCTTTAGGCAGATGCTTAGGGCCTGAGGGGGGAGGGGGGGTTATACAATTTCTTGGACCTATTCACTATCTCTAGGTGAATAATGAAGTGGGCCCAAACTGGTAACCTGCCTAAGTCTTAACCCTTCTCTGCTGAAGTCCAACATGTGTAGCTATGTAAGTCTTGCTTAAGTTATTATCTAGTCCCTTTGATTTAGGCTCGCTGAGCAAAATGACACAATCTATAGGTAGAGCAATCTATTTGACCATCTAAAAAGCAGCAGCATCCACCTTCAGTGTGGAGACCCAAGGCTTGGTTTCTTTATTATAAAAAAAGGGGCTCTCACTTGTTGTCTTCCCCATACTGATACTCTCTTTTCAGATTTTGACCACTCTTCTAAGATAAGATCCTTTGTATTGTCATGTGAAGGAAAAGATTACCTATTTTACTTAAGGTCTTCAGAAATATATCAAAAGCTGAATTAAAGCAACTAGGTCTAAAAAATCTGAGTACTCACTCTCTGAAACTGAAAAATCCCAGCAATGAGTTTAATCATACTATATAGGTATTGAATGCATCCTTTGAAGATGGAATCTCTTTACTCAGCAGACCCTACATCTTATTATTTCATCCTGTTACATCTATTTAAGCAGCCTGTGTACTACATCCCTCAAGAACAACGGGCCTAAACTTTGCTGGAATTTCTTTGTTATAGATGGCAGCTGATTCATTAAAACAAAATAAATAAAAACATCTAAAATAAAAGATTTTAAAAAATAAAATAAAATGTTATTCTATGCCATCTGTCTTTATAGCTGAGGCTTCTTGATAAAGGGTCGTATTTGAGCACAAATGTGATTGTTCTTTTCCAATAAATCTGCCTTGAACTACATTCCTGATTCCAAACACAGTCCTTTCTACTGTGAGGAACGCATAGCTTGGACTTGTTGAACCCAGGAAGTCCTCACTGAGAGTGCCTTTTCATTTTTGTTCTTAGCTGAGAGGAAGAAGACAGGGGATCTCACAGAGCTTAGGGAATCTTACAGAATACCAAATTCATTAGCTTTAGGCAAAAACAGTCTTTGCAAATGAATGGAGGGGCCAACCCACAGGAGCATGTGTTGGCAATAATTAAAATATTACATGCATTATATGTGAAAATTATTTTGGGATGCATACATGTAAGTAAATGCTTATTTTCAGTGCATTTCTTGGCCTACTCTGCAATGAGTACTTCTGTTTTTAAAACCAGCTCAGGGTGCATTTTTGAAATGCCCATCATTTGTGTGAAACATCTGGATTTGTAAATGGGGACAACCTCTGATTTTTCGCATTGTCTTTAGTTGGACAAGTAGTGTCCACATTTGCCCACATTTGTAAGCTAGGAGAAACACGGAAATAAGGTTTATGTATGCATTTTAAAATAATACACAAGGAGGCTACATGTTATGTCATTTTGTTATTCTAAATTATAAAAAACATATGCTGAGAACAATACTCCAACTGTAATCAATTGAGCATGACTAAAAAATTATTTTGAAAACTCTGCAACATAATTTTCCAGTGTGATGGTACTAAAACAATAATAGATGTGAAAATTCTTATATTCAGTGTACTGGGATTTTTAAGAGTGGCCAGTACCTTATTTATACTTGACTGTTAACAATTCTTTAGCATCTTAGCAGTGGGAACCTATTTCAGTAACACAATATTTTTTTCTAATTATACGGAAGCTCTTTATAATTCTCATAATCACATTTAGAATTACCGTTCTTAAAAGTTAGGTACATTTCTCACTCTATGTTATACATTTTTGGATATTGCTTCAATACTCAGAGAAGAGACTATTATGCCAGTTACTTAACTATGTATAGCAGAAATTAAAAACTTTAATGTATCCCATAACACTAAATGATTGCTCTTTAAATGGCTTGAATATGGAATGGCACACTGAGACAAGTTCAAATTTTTATGGAAAAGTTGACACGTCTGTTATATTTTGCAATGCTGCAAAAAAAGATTAACATTCTAGAAAAAGCATGTAATAGTGGTTTTACGGAGAGATCGGAATAAAATGCACTAATTAAACAAATTAAACTATGGTTGTATTTTGATTGGCCTCAATTTCCTCTAAGCCAATTAGAATCCAGCTATCATTCGAATTATGATAAGTGACTGAAAAAATACACAGATGGAAATAAATTAATGGCAGCATTAATTTTAATATAAAATACAGACTTCATGGAGCAATAAATATGCAAAGCAGACACGTTCTATAACTTTTACACATCCATTTGAATTTCTCTTTGTGAGCCCTTGAATATGAATTGAACTTAGGATAAAGTACAATAAGGAACCTAAAAAGCTTTTCTATAATAAAAAAAAAAAATTAAATTGCAAAAGTTTGGTCATTCGTATAAACTTAAGGTATAATTTAACCTAAAAGCTCCTTTAAGAAAATCTATTGCACTTTAACACTTTTGTAAATTCTGTGTCCATTTGACTACTTAGGATACAATGAGATCGTCATTCATCTTCATCATCTTCCTCTTTGCTGGGTGCACATCGATGGAAACAATGAACTGTTGTAGCCAAGAAGAAGCTCGAGAATATAGCAGCAATGGAAACAGCAACTCCAGAAAAGATGATAATTAAAAAGTCTGTCAATGACAAGCTGAATTTGCATTCGCTGAAACTGATGTCAGACAGCTCGTGTAGGAAGATTTTCCGTTCATCTAAGGTGCACTGAATTTCTCCTACGCCTAGGGAAAAAAAAAAATAAGGCCAGCAATGTCAGTTTGATTTTATCCAGAAATGATTGATTGTCAAAGATGACTACTAAAGGGACTGTTAAGCCATGAATGTTAGCAATAGAAATGAAGTATTTGAGATGTAAATTTTGCACACTTAGGGATTTATTATTCACAAAAATCCATGGTTTATTCACAAAATTGCAAGTTCTAGTGAATGGAATACCGAATTCCAAATCTAAGGAAATAGAGCCAAGCTGAGACAGACAATTTACCCGTATCAGCTATTTTATCTAAAGTTTTGCGTTCAGGGTTTACATTTTTTATAATTTTGCATTTAGTGAATAAACCAACATGAAATATATTGATCAAAGTGATGTATTATGAAAAATTCTATAAAATGTATAGATAACTTTAAAAAAAGGTATATATATATATAAATATATATAAAACACAAAATATATATATATAAAACACAAAATAATTATTATTATAATGATTAAAAATAATTTGAATAAAAATAAGTATGCATAATATAGGCCAAAGTATTCACGTTGGCAAAATAAAAGAGATGTCGAATTTTCTCATTCATTCTGGAAACTTTGTTTCCACAAACACACTTCAGAATTATATACTGAAGTGTGGATAATCTTTGATTCAAAGTGACTTCAAAGTGAGTTTAATGTTTTAGTACAAAACAGCTGAATTGGGAAAAAATGTCCTAAAATGTTAAATTTATTTTGTATCACCAATTCACACTTAAGTAACCCTGAGAAGACTCTTCACAAAAGTTACTGTACTATGAATCTGCACTGAACAAACTTTTGTTTTTCATTCTGTAGTCCAGTTGCAAACTCCGATCACCAATGCACTAATACCATAAATGGTGAAACAACAATCAAGACTGACCTCAGGAAAGAAGGGTCACTTTGTAACCCAAGTGTTGTTCAGTGTTATCATTTGTTTACTTTACAATAAAGTGTTTGTTAACAAATGATAATATATATTCCCCTTCTATTGTCCCATAAACACCTTTTTAAGTGTAGAACTCTGATAGCAGATAATCAATGCAATGCATCATTTAAATCCAGATTATTCACTAGAATGTGAACTTTCAGGAATTAAAAGTGAAATGCAAATTTTGGGCCAAATCAACTCGCTTTTTTTCATTTTTTCGCTATTTTCATTTTTGCTATGTTGTCCTATCATTGGAAATTCACTATTAATACCTAAGAATCCATAGTAAAGTGAATAATGTTGCCAAACTTGACTCATCAGTAAAAGCAAAAAAAAAAGTGTTTATAAACAAAAGAAAAATATATATTTGGGATTTCAAATTTTTGACCAAGATAACAGAGCTGCAGAATATCATAGGTGGTCAATATTTCCAGATGAATAGTTTTTGCCTAAACTCTGAGATTCCTTCGTCTATTTTCAGATTACTGAATTACATTGGATCAGTGGTGTTCAGACTTCAGTGTAATATGTTGCATCATTTGTATACCATACATACTCCATTTGACCAAACCGTAACTAGTCCATGTGGTGTGTGAAATTAGAATCGCTTCTTGTGCAGTAATCTTCTTTATAGTATACAAGATTTAAACTGGTAAAAAAATAAATAAATAATAAAATACTACCAATGATTGTGTTGGTCCACTGTTAAGTGAGGCTGCCTGTATCTACAGACAGAAGTGACACTGGAACCACACTCGAGCATTTCATTCTGGTCTGTTGATTATTATTATTATTATTGCCATTTATTATAGTGCCAACAGATTCTTATATTATAAGAGGGGGGAATTAAACTATAAATAGGACAATTACAAGAAAACTTACAGGAACGATAGGTTGCTGAGGTCCCTCTTGTCCACGCTACAACCTGGATAGGTGAGGGTATAACAAGGCACATAACAAGTAGGGGGTGGAGAGATAAATTTGGGACGAGAATAAGTAAAAAAAAAATACATACAAGTGAGCAGGGTGGGTTTAATTTAAATCAGGTGGCTTTAGATAATAATTTAAATTACTAGTCAGTGAGTCTAGATTTAAATCTTGATTTGACAATGTAAAGACTCACTCTTGATGGTTATTATAATCTACAATATTTTCAACCTGATAAAGATTTCATATTTAGAATAACTTCTCAGATTAGTTTAATAGTTAGATCAGAACTGATTTTGTTATATAGCATCATGAATGTATTTATTTATTTATAAAATATTTAACCATGAAGGATACATTGAGATTTATCTTGTTTTCAAGTGTGTAAATACATAGATAAGTAATGATTAAAGTATTGCAAGGTGAATTATTTCCAGTTTAATAATTTGATTACCCCACTCCCCCTCCATTAATTAAAGGTGATTTTACTCACCTTTTTTTAATCAATGTGCCGGTCTCACCGTGGTTGGCTCTGCCTCCATGGCTGAAATCAGAAAAACACAGCCTTGGCCAATCAACATCTCCTCATAGAGATGCATTGAATCAATGCATCTCTATGGGGGACGTTTTAGACCACCCCCGGGTTAGCCCCCCCATATTGAGAATTTTAACAAAAGATTATTCCATTTGTTAGATCTTTGTTAGATCAGGTTTGATCAACAATTTTTTTCGTTAGATCTACTCTAAAATATGCGATATTAACAATCATTGTCAGGGGGGGCTAACCCATAGCCAGCCCCCCCTCAACAAAAATTTGGAGAAAATGTTGTTGATTATGATAGCTCTACGTTAGATCAGGTTTGATCAGGCAAAATTTTTGTTTGATCTAGTCTAATTACTGAGATATTGCATATATAATTAGGGGGGACTGGCCCCCCCTCAACTGAAATTTGGACAAAATGTTACTGATTTTGGTAGCTATTCGTTAGATCAGGTTTGATCAACTATTTTTTTCGTTAGATCTATCACGCAAGAGGCGGTATTCACTACCTAACTTTGTGGGCGTGACTGCAGGTTAGCCCCCCCTCAAGTGAAATTTGAATTTTTTTTGATTGA